GAGAGTCGGGTAAGTTTGAAATTTGAGAGCGTACGTGAAGTTGGATGAAAAGTCATACTCAATTTAGAATTTGTGGATATTCTAGTATCCTTCGCGATCGAGAGATGATGATAGGTAATTATAAGAAAGTTATTGTGTTATTACATTGGTCTGCGTTACTTTTTTTTTTTTTTTTGACAATTGTGTTCTGTCAAAGGTCAAGAAAGCGAAGTGGGGCTTCACGTGATGATGATGACCACAGATCCAAAAGACGGCATTGAGCTTTACAAAGTCACATTTCCAACTCTTTATATTTGTAGAACATGTCGTTCTTATCGTGTAAATATAGTGGTTTGTTTTTGAATAATTGTTACTTCAATGCTAATGTAGATGAGAAATGATGTCTATTGTGCGTATGTTGTAGTATCGAAACAGAAATTCAAAATTAAATGTAATGATCATTGGAAAAAGAACGGAACATTTTTAATTTAAACGTAAGAGAAGATTAATAACGTTAGAGTTGGGAAATAATAAATCATAAATTGTAACAAATACTCCTCAAGATAAATTCTGTGGATGGGGCTATTGATGATCATTCACAATCCAGCCATCTTCCGGGTCCACTGATCAATGAATTATGTACAAGAGAATCTTGCATAAGTATGCACTAGTAACGTTTTACTATTACTTGGATGCTATGAAGGATTGGTGTGACATGAACGAAGCACACTACGATTCATAATGCAGGATATACAGTTTATGACGCATCTACTACATACTTTGGAATCCATGTAGAGTTTAAATTCTCACATAGTAAGAATTGCAAGCGTAAGCGCTACACATCATTAAACAAATGGCCAGTTGTTTAATTTAATAGTGACATGCTATTGACATATTTCCATTGATAATGGAAAGCTTGAGCTGCCACTGTAATTAATGCCTTGTGACTCAATATTGGCGAAACGTTCCGTTTGTAATAAGTTGACGTCATCAACTCCCGTAATACAAAACATTGGTTAAATATAGAAACGCAATATAAACAATAATATTCATTGTCAAATATACGCATTCAAAAATGACTGACGGCTACTCTTCATTTCTTTTGCTCCTTTGATTAATTCGTATAAAAAGTATGCTTATGTTTATGCTTATGGTTATGTTTACATTTTGTTTTCTTTCCTGGATACAAATTGGTTGGATCCGTTCGAAAAAACCAGCTAGTTTGCACGGTGAACAAAAAGTAAATTAATTTTATGTTAGATGTTCATTTTGTCTATGGCTGCAAGGAAAGGGGCCTAGAACGAACTGAAAACTGTTCTCCATATTTAGATACGGAAAAATGTATCTTTGGGGCGTGTTACATGTGGTGCTATGTCTATTCTTAGTCTATTCTCTAAGGGAAATATCAACAATATGATACAGCTTATCGCTAGTGTCTTTTACATATTAGGCTTTATGGATATTGTAACAGGTACTGTAATTACCAACCCAACTTATCAGTTTGTTTAGGCAATTCTTTTGGCAATTGAAAATTAATAGACTGGAGATAAAATAGACGTTTCTTATTTAGGTATTTCGCTATTTGTAAACAATTGCCTAATTCGTTACCCCAAGAAAAAAGAATGTAGGACCAACTCAATAAGGTAAAAATGTGGAGTAGAAAGTGGCTTACCGGGCGCAAAAATGGTCGCACACAATAAAACGAATTATACTGTAATAACAAGCGATCATAATAGGAAGTTTATTATTCTGATAAATGTTTTGAACTTGTCTTGAAAAATTTCATGTAAATAAAGCCTTGATTTCTTGGATACATTTTTAAATAAAATATTGAATAGTAACTCTTGCTTAATCACATGTGAAACCACCTGTCTGTATATGGCAGGGTAAATATCGTCCTTATCATTTGACGTTTCACCTCAATAATTGATTGAAGTAAAATGACCTTACCCCCTACAAGTAATTATTCCTGTTCTTTTATTGAAACGAATCGAATAAGAAGGGAATTATTATTAGTGAGTGGCTGTAAATAAATCAAAGCTTATCTTCACCCGGTTTGGCGCGTGGAAGACGTGACACAGTACTCACTTATAATGATTATGATAAACAAACAACGTCAAGAAAACAATACAGCGATAGCGTCACGGTAACACGACAACAACAATAGATTACGAGAATCACAACAACTGGGTTACCACATTACTGTTACATATCTCAAGTAGTTTATTAACGGCCAGCGTTGTCCACACCAATTGATTTCAAGATACATGTTACGTTTGTTGATTGGTGAGGCAAATGAACCCTTCCTTTCGACTCTTTTGTGTGCGTGGAATATACTGTATCCCCCTTTACCGGTTGACTTTGTTTGTTGCTATATTTAGTACAAAAGTATACTTATCTATGACCTTCACATGGCAACAATTGCCTCACGATTTGTAAGCACTTATCAATCTCGATTTTAAGGGTTTCAGATTGACTATATCAAAAGTGTTACATCGGCAGTACCCGAGATCCGTAAATCATGGAGACCTCTATTCCATATAAAGTAATAGAAATAGCGGATACACCATTAATATGCTGCAACATCATGTGGCGCTGAACGCGTTTCTTCAAGCTTCTATTAAAAGCACAAACCATACAGGACTGTAACAAGCATTAGTCTTTCCAGAGTTGACTGCATGACTATGTTTTAATTCGTGTAACGAGACAGTGTATTGTCCGCGTGAAATAAAACGATCAACTAACATCCAACCAATGGCTAGCATAATAATGCGCTTTTTAAGCCATTGGTTGAATTGGGGGCTATCGACGCAAGCGCTATGCTATGAACAGTTGTTCCATCAACGATAACACTGTGGGGGACAAAGTTTAATTTAATTGGTAAATCTTAAAATAACATAACATAAAAATAACTTGCGTTCATTAGCGCTGGGATGACCCAGTTGCACATTAAAGCGCTCCTATTAATAGCCATGAATGTTGATAGGACAAGGAAATCTTACCTTTATTTTTCAAACGGGATTCGCCTGCCGCCAACGGCCACAACAGCATTTCATCATCAAGATTTCACAACGCACAACTTGGTTATCCTTCCTATAATCACAATTGTTGACTATGGCAGACAAAGGGAAAAGCAATATAAGTAATAATAATTGCGATAAGAGAATGCTTGTACGAAAATAACATTCTTTCACGTCGTCTAATCTATAAATAATGTTGTTACACATCAGCCCAACGTAAAAGTTATAAAATAAAGTGTATTCTTGCTTGCCCCGATAGTCTTCACGCTTTGAACCATAAAAAATAGTTCTTGAAGAGCAAGTTAATAATGTCTGCTAACACGTATCCAGAACATAAGCGCATCGACCCATCCGGGGTTCAGAAAAAAAAGCCTGGACGAAAGGCGAAGGTAGTTCCCCCAGAATTGGACCTTTTTGGTAATGGTGTTGTTATGGTGGTGGGGGACAAATCGCCTCCAAAGGTGGAAGAATGTCCTGAGTGCCTCACTCAGGCAGAATTGGACGAGTTAAATACGTCCATCAATGAAATGCACGAGTTGACAACAGCCCCCGCCGATCCCGTCGAGGAAAATCGTAACTCGCTGGCTGAAAGAGTAAGACACAATATTTGTGTAATCATGTGATTCATATCATCTAAACTAACATTATATTATTTTTAGACTAACGAGGAATTAAATCGGCTGGCAATCCAAATACATACCATCATTGAGGAGAGGATGCCTCACCCCAGTAATTCCTGATGGCTCTCTGATTTCTTGGCTGGAAATTTCCCTCACTACTTCTCCGGTAATAACTGCCTATATATGCCCACTATTTATGGTTTATTTTATGTTATTGTGAATGTTTTAAGATATCATAATTTCACTCACACATTCATACAATTTTAAACTTGTACCTTGCGCAACATTCACAATAGTCTTAATATGCACAAGCAATTTTTATAACTTTATACGCAACTATGAGACTGGTTTCATCTCGTCAATAAATAAATGTCTTCTATGATCCCTTTTATAATCAAACCATGTCAGAAAGTGTAAATTAACATTTATCCTATTACTAAATACCGTAAACTCTCATGAATAAGAGCCCACCATGAATAAGGGCCCCCCTATATAAAAGTGGTGATCATGTGATAAGATCTGTAATGGTTTGAAAACGGTTAACCCCCCTACCCCCCTCATCACCCACTTTATTATCAACCAATAACGCCATATATGATATATGCAGCTCATGATTATGTAATAAACGAAAATAACGCGGGCAACTGTTACGTGACGATGGGTGGCTTAAAAACAATGCAAAATGATCTACAACCAACCCATCCATGAATAAGAGCCCCCTTATATGATGAAGGGGGGCCCTTATTCATGAGAGTTTACGGTAATATTCGATTTAAGCATCGGTTGCCGGCAAATGAAATGGGTAAATAGTCTGTGGACAGTACTGATACTAATTACAACTCTATTGACTTTTAAACGACGAGGAGATAAAACAGACTGCAAGCGTAAGTCAAGAAGACCGCCGCGTATTTGATAATATAGATTTCACTCGTGACTATGACTTTACATTGCACAAGCTTTGTTTATTAACAAAAATAGTAAATTGTGCCATAACGTTTTGTTTTATTTTTATTATATGGTATTTCCCCAATCCACTAACCTACTTTATCTTACAAAAACAAACCATTCACGCTGATTTTCGCGGATAAATCGACTCAAGAACATCCTTAGTTTCCTTCAACGGCCCACGAGGCAAACGGTCTTCGGGGGTGATATTCGCCCGCGCCTGATTTTTCTCAGCCTCTTCGTGCTTCCTAGCATCCTGTGCGGTAAAGCCCGAAGAGGTCGAAGGATTTCTATTCGATTCCGATTCATGCGACGGTCTGTTCAGACTTCCGACTTGATCCTGCATTCCCTGTTGTATTTTTTAATAAAATGTAAATGTAACATGTACAGGTCTATTTTCCTCCCCATACAAATTCAGATACCGACTTACGATATTAGCGTTCAAATCCGCCGCCTTTTCGTCCGAATGCTCAGTTTCCTTTTTACTCACTGCCCGTGCTTTCATCCCTTTCGCTGCAGCTTCAGCCTGCGTATCAGCAGCCTCGGGTTGCATCATTTTCGAAAACGTGCCAACGACCTTTTCCTTCACATTATGCAATAAATTCTGCCCGGTCTCTATCGCCGATGCGGCTGCTTCCGATGGAGATGGGAATAGGTGATCCGGTTCGGCAGATGAGGCGATGGTGGATTTGTCTTTCGCGGATGATTCAGAACTAGCAGAATGTAAAGACTCCTTTCCTGATTCTTTTATCGACTCGGCTTTATTCTCCATAGACTCTTTACCATGTCGAGCCTTCTCATTTATGCTCTCCTTCGCGTAATAAATCTTATCAGCCACATCTGCGGCCGATTCGTTGACTTTATGTCCAACATGCTTCGCCATCTTTTCCCCAGAATCAACTGCGTGCTTGACGGCTTCTTTCGCTTTATGCGCCTCCTCTTCTACCATTTCTTTCGTCTTGTGCATCATATCCTTTCCCTTTTCTTTAGCTGACTCGCCCATTTCCATCGCTGATTTTCCTTTCTCTTCTGTCTTCTTTTTCAACTTATCCATCGCTTCTTTTCCATATTCAACGCCTGCTTGTGTATCTTCCTTTACTTTTTCACCGGCCTCCTTTGCCTTGTCCGTATCCTTCAGGATGTCTTCCGATGTTAAAACTTCTTTTGCTTTGCTTACCGTATGTCCTTCTCCATAAGGCTTCTCCCACGTGGGACCTGTAGAGAATGGTGCTTCATCATGCGGCCCTTTATCTTGCGGATTCGAGTGTGTGTGTGCATCGGTGGATCGAAGACGGGCAGTGGACGTGCGGGCGTAATTGACGGGTAATGAAATGGGATGTAGTTGTGTGTTACGTAGGAATGCGCGCCTAGTAATGTAAATGGGATTGCGGATGAATCGAAGCATCATCGTTCCTCTCTTTAACAGTCAAGTATTTGTCCAGATAACTAGCAAGAGAGTTTGACCCCATCGATATTTTATATGTTCTTTCGTCCATCAATCTACAGTTAGTCAAATCCATGATATAATGTCATTTCTGCGTCATCTCTGCGAAACTAGCCAAAGAAACGTCATCACGGCGTCATGCACGTTTACTTGGTAACGGCAGCCCCGGAATTATATGGCACGTGAATGATGTCCGAAATAGTATTTATTCAAGCAATTTTGTGACATGTGGAAAGCATTTTTTTATATTTCTCATACAAGTCCGCAAGAATTGCCAATAAAAGGACACAAAGATGTTACCAATAATGATATTCGTATATTTTTGAAAGCAAGTCGTAGCACATCATACCTGTAAATGGCAAACCCTTTGGTTGTCTAATAAGCAAACTTAATTGTACACTGTTACATTGTTTGAGACTGTTCATAATGGTATGTAGGAGATTAGTTTCGTGTTGCAAACATCTCGAGGGAGTTATAACAATCGCAAGCTTTTTGCTATCCATAATCAAATCACTAATCGGCAACCATACTTTTGCATTTACATAATCAATTTCATATTTTTTTTCTTTGCACTTTTTGTCCTCAATCATGAGCAGTTACTGTAATAAACGTCCGGCCGACATTCCTGGCTTCTCTCATATCAAAGGGGATGTGGTCTTAATCCACGGCTACAAGGGATCAAAGTTATATAATACCGTTTCCAAGCGTACTGTATGGGTCAATCTCCACACCCCGCTCAATCCATACTCGAAAGAGACTATTGACCTTCCGCTTCACATTACCGGTAACGAAGAAGATAGAATAGTAGCAGCCAAAATAATGAGGAAAATTGCCCACTACAAATTCTACGATGCTATAGTAACGCATCTGAAAGCAATCCAAAATAGCAGAAAGTTGTCCAACGACGAAAAAAGTTTTAGATTGCATACGTTCGCATACGACTGGAGACGAGAAAACGACGCATCGGTGGAAACGTTTACCGACTATCTGAAAGACATCTACAAAAATAACGGAAACCGGCCCATCTACGTCATAGCCCACTCCAACGGTGGCTTAATCACACTGACGACGCTGCATCGCCACCCTCATCTTTTTGCTGGATGTATATTCGCTGGCACTCCATTCCACGGTGCGCCAGGTATTTTCTGGGAATTAAAATACGGGGCACCTGTGCTTTTCAATAAAAGACTCCAGGACAAGGCTGCTGTATTCTCTTTACGGACGGCCTATGGATTTCTGCCACCAGCGGCACCCTTCGTCGACTCGATCACCAAGGAAGATATAGAAATCGATCACTACGATGTTGAGGCGTGGTTGAACAACGACTGGACTGACGTTATCCACGAGGAAACTTCCAGACATTTGCAATTGGGAACCAAAGAAGAAAGAATTGCATATTTGAAGCGATCCTTGGAGACGGCAAAGAAATTCCGCGAGGGCTTGAAATACAAAGGACCAAACTTTAAGTACCCGCCCATCTGTACTATTGTGAGCGGCGAGCATCTTGCAACCGGAAAGTATCCTGTTGAGAGATCAATGGATGGGAAATTGAAAATTCTGTACTATCAGCGAGTACCTGTTGCTGGTGATGGAGTTGTTCCGTTCGAGAGTGCAAAGTTGCCCGAAGGAATACCTCATGATATCGTACTCTCTAAAGAAACTCATAGTACGCTACTGGAAGATTTAGAGGCCGTTGGGAAGGCCGTCGAGAAGGTGTTTTCAAAGTAAGTGAACTTGAGAACTTGTGTAGAATCGGAATAGTTTTAGAATATTATAGAACTGAGACTATTCATTAGACGAAAGATATTCTTATGACTGATTATATTATTGACTATGTATCACTCAACGATATAATAACAGTAATAAGAACATTATGTTAATATAATAAAAGGTATCTGTCAATATTTAAGTGATTTATAATGTAATCGGGGGGGGGGGGGGGGTGTCAAGTCTGTTCGCGTTTAAATGACTTGTTAAGGATTTAGGACATCCGATTGCGATCTCGTGCGTAGCAGCAGCTCTGGTAGAATGTTTTCACACCCTATTGCAACTCCAACCCAATCATTTAAGTTCAGTGAATCGTAGAGTTTGATAGCAACGATAGGGTCAAGGATAGTAAATCGATAATGGACAGAAACTCACCCGAAAAGTCTGGGGTTTATCCTTAGAAAACGTATCAACATGGAACTGCGTAAAAGAGTCCATAAAATATTCTGGTGACGGATAGCAATGGATCTCAACGCGTTATTTTCTTATTAAGACCCCGACCTACAGACTGCCCGAATTAATCCACGGTAGAGAGTAGTTATTGTTTCTCGAGAATAATTAATTATCTAGGATTAGTGTGTTTGATTCGTATACGAATACGTCAGCACGTAAAAGCCTAATTAACAGGTCACTAACTGTTTGTTACGATTAGTTATCGCTGAGGTGAGCCACACTCCTACGACGACGCAGCTAGATCCCAAACCGAGACAGTAGTTATCCGCTCTCCCGTGACTATTGCCTCGACAAGTCCTAATACAGTAGATTTTATGTTATGGTCAAGAATTTCTCTGAAACAAAAACGGAATTATTAATTTCCCTTGATATGATGAAGTTTCATAGTAAGTCGTATATTGTATATACAGTATATTGCTTTCATAAAATGTTAATAAATTTTGTGTATACAATATACATATAAAATTAATATTTCTGTTACATTGAACATATGGTATCTTTCTTGGATCCAGTTCATTTATTGACAGAATTTCACTGACAAAAACTACTGAATAAAAAAAAGTTCCGTCATCGTAAACGATTGTCAGTGAAATAACATCTCCCATTTTTATACATCAAAATAACATGGCATGGTTATTACTAGGAATGAGGTTGAACCTTATGCAAATCAGGAAACTCAACTGCTCATGAAAGTCTTAACAAGTTACTTAAGCTGGACTCAGTTTTGTTTAACAAAGTGGTTATAAATTTCACAAATTATGCAAAAAAAAGGCGTTACTGCCGTTATTCTAGAAGGCCTTCACCAACAGAAAAACCAATTCTCGAGAACGATCGAAGCGCTTAAAAAATGGATAGATAAAAAAAAGAAGAAAAAGAATGGTGTTAATAGTGATAATAATAATCCCATGTAGCATAGATTCACGCGCCACCAAAGTATAGGGTACTCATTAATGGCTTTGGGTCCGAGTATTTCCTCCCATGCAATCGCTCTAGTGAATCTTCAAAGTCAAAGACGACTAAATATGCGTATTGATTATTGTAAATATCGCGCGATTATGTTAATCGCTATTCATCTTCAAATCTTTAAATAAAAAACACAACTTGCAAATTGTCCCAACTTAATGAAAACATGGTTTCCTTGTTATTCCCAATAGAACGATCAATAGCTGAATCACATACGTATGCAAGTTTTGAAACATTGTATGTGATGTACAGACAATTAGCCATATTGAAGAATTGTTTCACTTTCCAAAAGTACGCATAAGATGGCAACAAGGTACAGTAGTTGCTGATGCTAAAACGCTCGTGACTTGAAATTTATCATGTAATCAATACGGGGGTACCCCCTAATACAGTCACATTCGCATTTGCTTAATCATAATAATAAAAGTGTTAGGCGTAAACAAAGAAATGATGAACATGTGATGGTCATCTATTGGATAATTTTGTAACACGAATATGCAATGTCCGTCCAC